GGGCGCCGGCGGTAAACCGTCAACCTTTCTTACCGCCGGGGGACTCGTAGAGCTTCCTGACAATATATAACGTCGAAAACAAATTGCAGAGAACGAAGAGTTTTTCAGCCCAAGCGATTTCAGACTCTCGATGCAACAGCCAAGCTCCCCTGATGCTTCTGAATTTTCTTCTGTACGAGCTCTGTAGCTCTCCTGCAGCCCGAGTTACGTGCGTAAATCGAGAGCACCTCTGAAGATCACTCGAGCAATACGAATAGTTTGGTAAACCTAGCTCGAGTATCAGACCGAGTTCAGACCTCTGAATGCGAGGTGGACGCGATTGATGTCTCCCACTCGATTCCTATGATTACCATCCCTGCAGCCCCCCTACAGCCCCAGTTAAGTTCAGAAACCGACAGTTCTTCCAGGATGACTCGAATACTACAAACAGTTTCGCGGACCTGGTTCGGGCAGCAGACCGAGTTTCGAGCTCTCGATTCGACAGGCGGACGCGCCTGATGTCTCCAAATCGATTCCTGTCACTATCAGCACTGTATCCCCCCCTACCGAGTTAAGTACAGAGCCGAAAGCATCTCTCAAGATGACTCGAACAATACGAATAGTTTCGCGATTCTAGATCGAGCAACAGACCGAGTTCAGATCTCTGGATTCAACAGACGAACGCGACTGATGATTCTGAATGGATTTCTGTGAGTATCAGCTCTGTGGCTGTCATATAGCTCAAGTTGAGTACAGAAAACCAAGAGCGCCTGTCAAGATGACTCGAATGGGAACCGGCGGTAAACCGTCAACCAGGTCACCGCCGGGGTCCTTGTATTGCTCTTTTCTCGCACGACGCTCCTCGTTACACATGAAGGTCTGGAGCAAGACCAAAAAAATTGGAAAGAACATGTTTTCATGTTTTTATCCAAAGACGCTTGCTCCAAGTGCTTTGATAGTAATACTGCGCCTACGGATCTGAGAATTTGATTGGCAGACGCGGGATAACCCACTACAGGTGCGAAAATTCTGTTTTATTAGAATGAATTGTCACAAATCTTGGCAAAACTGACCCAAATGTGCCACATTGTTTCTTTTGGTCGGGTTGGTCAACTAGCTCCACCCTGCGCCGGAATTCCTCTAGCTCATCGATACCGAAGAGCTCTACGAGGTATAATACGAATAGGTTTCCAGACCTAGCTCGGCTAGCAGACCGAGTTCAGACCTCTGGATGCAACAGACGAACGCGCCTGATCATTCTGAATCGATAAGGTGTGCTTACCAGCTCTGTAGCTGTCCTGCATCTCGAGATAAGTCCAATATACAGTGAGCGCGTATCAAGATGACTCGAAACGGCCGATCCCGCCGGTGTGCTTTTTGGGAGTAAAAGGTACCCGATCGAGCTGAGATCAAGATGGCGAGCGGGAATAAGATCGAATATCACGGGAAAAAATACTAGAGCCCAAACGAATTGAGGAATTTCGAGAACAAAAACTTTCAACCGACCAAAAGTCACCCAAAAGTCCGTCGAGATTTTTCTTGCCAACTAGCTCTCCAGCGCCCCGGAATTACTGGCGCCGGCGGTGAACCGTCAACCTAGTCACCGCCGGGAACCTCGTAGAGCTCCGCACACTGGTAAGAGTGCTGAGAATCGAAGTGGAGTAAAACATATAGATTTTTTGAAAATCTGTATTTTTGATTTTTTCGATGTTCACATTCGCTCAGTTCCCGGAAGTCAACTCATAAGAAGATACATCGGGAGAGCTGAGCTGCTGTCAGCGACGCGCAAAAATCTGCTTTCTCAAAATAAATGGTTAAATATCTTTCAAATGTTTGCAAAACCGACCAAAAGTAACCAATTTGTCCGCCCCGGCCGGGTGGGCCAACTAGCTCCACCCCGCGCCGGAATTCTTCTAGCTCATCGATGACGAAGAGCTCTACGAGGTATAAAACCGTCAACGCGTGTCGAGATGACTGAAATCCGCCGACGGTTCCCTCAAGTCTTTTGATAGTAATATTGCAGCTACGGACCTGAGAATTTAACTGGCAGACGCGGCATAACCAATTACACGTGAGAAAAATACCGGTTCTCAAAAGGAACTTCAAAATTTCGCATAAAGTGAAAAAAAAGCCGACCCCAGGTTACCACATCCTCTCTTTTGGTCGGGCCGGCCAACTAGCTCCACCCTGCGCCCGAATTCCTCTTAGCTCTTTGCTGAAGAGCTCTACGAGGTTTACTCTTAAGTTTCCAGCAATAACTTGCTAAGGGAAGCTCCACGAGTTACTAGCTCCACCCCGCGCCGGAATTCCTCTAGCTCATCGATGCCGAAGAGCTCTACGAGGTACTGGCACCGGCGGTGAACCGTCAACCTGGTCACCGCCGGGAACCTCGTAGAGCTCCTTCCACGCGTGAGAGTGCTCAGAGTCGAATGGGAGAGCTTCTGGAGGCATTTCTTAAAGAATTGAACATCAATTTTTTTCATGTAGAAATACAGTTGGTTGCGCCAAGTATTTTGACAGTAAAAATGCGCCTACAGAGCTCATATTAAGACGCAGAGGCTCTCACAGTCGTCTACAGGTGCGAAAAATCTGGTTTCTCAAAATGAATTGTCGGTCTGCTAGCCGAGCTAGGTCCGCAAACCTATTCGTATTATTCGAGTCATCTTCACAGGCGCTCTCGGTTTTCTGTACTTAACTCGAGCTATACGACAGCTATAGAGCTGATACTTAGAGAAACCGATTCGGAATCATCAGTCGCGTTCGTTTGTTGAATACATAGCTCTGAACTCGGTCTGCTGCCCGATCTAGAATCGCGAAACTATTCGTATTCTTCGAGTCATCTTGAGAGGTGCTGTCGGTTTTCTGTACTTAACTCGGGCTGTAGGGGGGCTACCTGGTAGTCGCAGGAATCGTTTTGGAGACATCAGGTGCGTCCGCCTGTCGAATCCAGAGCTCGAAACTCGGTCTGCTGCCCGAACTAGGTCCGCGAAACTATTCGCATTGTTCGAGTCATCCTGAGAGCTGTCGGTTTTCTGCACAAAACTCGGGCTGTAGGGGGGCTGCAGGGCTGGTAATCACAGGAATCGATTCGGAGTGGGTTATGCTGCGTCTGCCAGTTCAATTCTCAGGTCCGTAGCCGCAATATTACTATCAAAATACTTGCAGGAATCGACTGTGTTTCGAGCATCTTGACACGCATTGACGGTTTCCTGGACTTCACTCGAGATTTAGAAAAGCTACAGAGTTGGTACTTATAGAAACCGATTCAGAATCATCAGGCGCGTTCGTCTATGCCATCCAGAGGTCTGAACTCGGTCTGCTTCTCGAGCTAGGTCGGCAAAACTATTGTATTCTTCGAATCATTTTGACAAGTGCTGTCGGCTTTCTGTACTTAACTCGAGATTTAGAGGAGCTACAGAGCTGGTACGTACATACACTGATTCAGTATGACCAGACGCGTTTGTCGGTTGCATCGAGAGGTCCGAACTCGGTCTGCTACTCGAGCTAGGCGACACTATTCGTATCTCTGAAGTTCTCTTTATAGGCGCTGTTGGTAGTTTGTACTTAACTCGAGCTGTAGGTGAGCTAGCCAGCTGATGCGTACAGAAACCGATTCAGAATCATCAGGGGCGTTCGGCTGAAGCATCTAGAGCTCTCACCAGATCTGCTACTCGAGCTAGGTCCGCAAAACTATTCGTATGCGACCGAATTTTTCGAATTGATGGTGCAATGTTTAACTTAACTCGAGCCGCAGATGAGCTTGAGAGCTCTCCCGCACAGAAATCAATAGACAAATATTTCTCACGTGTGTCTCCCAGTCCAATTCTCTGGCCCGCAGATGCGATGTTTTCTATCACGGAAACCGACGTCGGATGAAAACGGGACAAACGTATTTTTCAAGTTTTTTCTTCACGCTTGAGAAAGCCTTTCCCGTGTGTTCCGAGCAGCGCCGCGCGAGAAAAGAGCTCTACGAGGCTCCCGGCGGTAGCCTGGTTGAAGGCTCAAGGCTCAAGGCTCAGCGAACGTTCATTTTCTCCTGCCTGGGGAACCTCCGCGAAGGTGAACGTTGAGCTAGCGCGTTGTTTTGCTCTGCTTACGCAACTGCCCATCTCCCTTTACATCCTGCTTGCCATTGTTGGTCTCTCATATCCATTTCTCGTTGCGGTTTGGTGGCGGCAATTTGTATACGCTGACTTGTTCCTCACTGCCTAGAGTGGTGCTCGTAAGTCTCTCTTCTTTCAGATCTGCCTTGAGTGGATTGCATATTGTTCAATTTGCAGCATTTCATTGTTGTGATCTCTCAGGTGTCCTCACACATCTTCCCTCAGTTTTCTGCCATATACCTATCATTTGTGGTCTTGTTTGTGCCAGATGCCTCATGTGCGGAGTCTCGCGTCCAGGGGTTTGCGTCGGGCTCGGGCTTGCCAACTTGGATGGGTTCGACCGAATTGTCCTCTTCCGTTGGTGCTCGAAGGCCTAGTCGCCCGTGACACGGTCTTGCATGCAGAGTTGGATGCTCAGGCTAATAAGTTGTTGACAGCATTACTCCGTCCCTCTGATAGCTGCCCGAAAGTTGATTCCGTTGCACTTCGCGGTTTTTCTTCTGCTATTGATGCTGGGGTCCAGGTTGACGAGGTCGAATATCCTTCTCAAAGCATTCGATTATTTTCAATTGATGCTGGTGTCCAGGTTGACGAAGTGCACTGTCCCTTTCTGTTGACTGTACATGCTAATATGTAGCCCCTTGGTCCAAGTAAAAACCATCAACATGGTAGCGGAGCGGCGTGGGTTCGTTCCCGCCGCCGCTTCCCTTCCAGCCACCCGCGGCGCGCGCGCGCGCGCCAGCAATAGGGCAGCGGCGAGGGCCGCGCCCTGGCGGCTGGCAGCGGCGGGGGCCGCGCCAGCCGGCCCTTCTTAGCCCAGCACGCCGCCGAAGAAGAAGAAGACGAAGCGAGGCTCAAGGTCGAACAAGGCAGACATCCTGAGGAGCAGGAAGTTCGACGAGAAGCTCGATCTGAAGTATGGAGGAGATCGAGCGACGCTTCCAGGCGCTCGAGGGAGCGTTGCAGGCTGCCGAACAACGGGTGCAGGCTGCAGAGGAGCGCGCCCTGGCGGCGGAGTCAGCAGCAGCGAGCGCAGGCGCCGCCGCGAGCGCAGGCGCCGCCGCGAGCAGGCCCGTGGCAGCGGCGAGGGCCGCGCCACAGGATCTGGTGGACACTCGGCTTCTAGCGAAGCCGAAGGCGTTCGGAGGCAGCGAGGACGAGTGGCCAGGGTGGAGCTTCAAGATGCTCGCGTACCTCGGGGCCCTCGACGAGCAGATGGCCAACGAACTGACAGCAGCCATGACGTTCCCGCTGGAAGAGGTGAGGAACGCGAGGCTCCTGGAGGAGGGAGCGAGTCAGCGCAGTCGCCAGCTGTACTTCATCCTCGTCCTGCTGCTGGAAGGAGCCGCACTGCAGCTCATCAAGCCGGTCGGCGTCGGAGAAGGGTATCGGGCGTGGAGGACACTGCAAGACATGTACGAGCCCGACAGACCCGGTCGCCATGCAGGACTGCTGCAGGAGCTGATCGCGTTCCAGTTCCCAGAGGACAACATCGTGGGGATGCTGGCGGACTTCGACTTCAAGGTCACGAAGTACGAGAGCCAGAGCCACGAGAGGATTGGGGACAGGATCAAGATGGCGATCCTCCAGCGGGGGATTCAGGACGAAGCTCTTCGAGCGCACCTGGTCCACAACGCGTCGAGGCTAGTCACGTGGGAGCTCATGCGCAACGAGGTGCACATGGTGATCTCGACGAGGAGCGCCATCTCAGCAGTGCCGCCACCAGTTCCGATGGACACGAGCGCGGTGGAGAAGGCGAGGCGCGAGCGCGACAAGGGCAAAGGAAAGAAGGGCAAGGAAGGCAAAGGCAGGAAGGGCAAGGGCGGCGACAACTCCACGGACCAGAGGAGCCAGGCGGCCAAGGACAGGGCCGAGAAACGGTGCTTCCACTGCCACAAGACCGGTCACGTCAAGAGCGAGTGCAGGAAGTTCCTCGCAGAGCAGAAGAAGAAGAAGGGCACCAACGCGGTCGAGCAGGAGTCGAAGCCGTCGGGAGCTCCACCAGCGGCGAGCGCCGCGGGGAGCGCGGCACCGGTGATGGCGATCGCGACCGAAAGCGGGGCAGAGCCACTGTGGTGCCTCGCGATCGAGCTGGAAGAAGGGCAAGAGTCGTTATCGAGTGGAGCAGCAGCGACGCCCTCAGCACCAGCGACGACAGCGATCCACCTTCGTTCGAGCGGGCCGTCAAACGAGCACGCGCAGCAGAGGCAGCCATTCTTGGTCGGTGCCAGCCCAACCGAGCAGCTGAGCCAGCCAGAGGCGTCAAACGAGCACGAGCAGCCGAGGCAGCCATTCTTGGTCGGGGCCAGCCCGATCGAGCAGCTGAGCCGGCCAGGGGCAGCAGACGAGCACGAGACGTTCGAGAACAAGGAGATCATCGGTATCAATGAGCACTGGGTCATGGTGGATTCGGGTGCTGCGCGATCGGTGTGCCCGCCGAGTCACGGGGCCCACGAGACACTCAGAGACCTGAGCGAGCGCATCAGGCTGGTCGGAGCGAGCGGCGACGACATCCCGTGCCACGGCGAGCGCTTCGTCACGTACGCGAAGGACGGGCACAAGATCGGGGTGGACTACAAGGTCGCCGACGTCAAGAGGCCGGTGCTGGGCGTGTCGCAGGCGGTCGACAAGGGCACGTCGTGGGTGTTCACGCCGAGCGGGAGCTACATGATCCCGAAGCCGATCGAGTTCTCGGACCCAGACGCCGTGCCGCTGGTCAGGCGCAACGACTTGTTCTACCTCAAGATGGACAGGTACGGCGAAGGCGTCAAGAACTCGCTCGTCATGCCGGTGCGGGGCGAGGAGCCAGGAGGCGAGCCCGGCGGCGCATCAGCCGCGTCCAGGGCAGCGGCGAGGGCCGCGCTCCAGGGCGGCGGCGGCGGAGGGGCTGCCGCGACCCGCGCTCAGGCCGAGGCGAGCGAGCCGGCAGCGCAGGCAGTGCTCGAGGAGTCCGTGCCAGTTCGAGTCAAGAAGGATCCGGTGAAGCCAAGCCTGGCCGAGCAGAGGACGCACGAGCTGGTGCACATTCCGGCGAGGTCCTGGTGCTGGGTGTGCGTCAGATCCAAGTTCACGGACGACCCGCACTACAAGGCCGGGCACGAGCGCACGGGCGACGAGGTCCAGATCGACTACTACTTCCTGGGCCAGCTGAGCATCCTCAACATGGTGCACATGAACTCCCAAGCTATTCATGGCATCATGGGGCCGAAGGGTACCGACGCCTACATGGTCAAGACAGCGGTCGCCACCATTGAGAACTGGGGGCTGGATCGCATCGTGCTGAAGCACGACCAGGAGGCGTCGATCACGGCCCTGGCGAGGGAGATCAAGGCTCAGCGGAAGGCGCCCACGATGATCGAGTCAGCTCAGCGGGCTAACCATCAAGGAGTCGGTGGAGTGGAGCGCGCCAACGAGGAGCTCGGCAAGCAGATCAGGGCGCTGCTGTTCTCGGTGGGCGACAACTACAAGCGGGAGCTTCCAGCCGAGCATGGGCTTCTACCTTGGCTCATTCGGCACGCTGGCTGGCAGCTCAACCGCTTCACGGTGCACGGCAACGGCAAGACGACCTACGAGGTGCTCAAGGGGAGGCCGTATCGGGGCGAGCTCGTCAACTTCGCGGAGTGCGTTTGGGCGAGGGACCCCACGCCGACCTCCAAGCTGCAGCCTCGGTGGCACGCGGCGGTGTGGCTGGGCAAGACAGAGGTTTCGGACGAGCACCTGGTGGCGGGTCCAACGCGCACGACGAGGGTGCGCACGGTGAGACGGCGACCGGAGGGCGAGCGGTTCGTGCTGGAGGAGCTGGACAAGTTCGCTGGGGTGCCGTGGGACATGCACCGGGCTCCACAGATCGGCATCGTGCCGACGGGAGCGCCCCAGGTGGAGCCGAACCAGCAGCGGCTGATGCCGCCACCTCCACCACCGCCGGTGGCCTTACCGGCTGCGGGCCCGGAGGCGCTGGTGCCACCAGCGATGGTCGGGCCGGCGCCGCCCGCGGGGCCAGGAGGCGCAGGGCTGAGGTCGACGTACATCACGAGGGCGTTGATCGACAAGTACGGCTGGACCCCCATGTGCCCGAGGTGCGTCACAGGCATGGGATCGCACAGCGAGGAGTGCCGGAAGAGGATCGAGAACGAGCTGCGCAAGGAAGAGATGGCCAGGGCAGCGGCGGAGGCCGCGCCCTCGTCGGCAGCGGCGGGGGCTGCGCCGACGCCGGCGGCGGCGGGAGCCGCGCCGGGGCCAGCGGCTGGGGCTGGAGACGGCAGACCAGGATCGTCCGGGGATGCCAGCATGGCGCCTCGCGACGACCAGGGCGAGGCGTCGGCGAAGAGGCCGCGCCAGACAGCGGCGATCACAGTCGGGTCGCTCGCAGTCGGGGCCTTCGTGGAGATCAATCCCTGCACGTACGAGGGCCTGGACCAGCAGTCCCACGAGGAGCTCGAGACGGTCACGGAGATCGAGAGCTGCGAGCCGCTGGAGATCGGGATGTTCGAGGTCAGCCCCGTCGAGCCGGCGGCGATCACGGTCCTGCCAGACACGGAGAAGCACGTGTACGACGCGAGGAGCGGGAAGGAGCTCCCCAGGGACCTGGCCAGGCGCGGGCGCGAGGCCGAGATCGAGGAGATGCGACGACACGGCGTCTTCGAGGAGGTCCGCGTGGCCGAGAGCCGGGGCAAGGTGGTGCGTTTCAAGTGGGTCGAGGACCTGCGCACCAAGGACGGCAACCCCTTCGTCCGGTCCCGAGGCGTCGCCATGGAGATCAACACGTACGGCCGAGAGGACTGCAACGCGGGCACGCCGCCGATCGCCATCGTCAGGGCGATCGTCTCCTTGGCGGCGACGAAGAAGGGTCGGAGGCATCTCTCGGTGCATGACGTCCACGTGGCGTTCTTCCACGCCGACCTCGACGAGTGGATCGTCGTCATCCCGCCTCCAGGACTTAGGAGAGACGGGTACGTGTGGCAGCTCCGGAAGGCCATGTACGGCACGCGCAAGGCGGCCCAGGCCTGGCAGGAGTACGTGGCCGGGGTGTTCAAGAAGAACAACTGGACGCGCATCGCGGTGGCGGCGGGCGTGTACCACGAGCCTCTCTTGGACATGACCTCGGCGATCCACGGTGACGACATCTTGACCGAGGGCGAGGAGGAGCCCCTGGATGTCCTGGACCAGCAGCTGATGGCGAGCATGGACGTCAAGTGCATCGGTCGTGTCGGGCCGGATGGCGTTCGCGAGCTCCCATACCTCAAGCGCAAGATCAGGTGGACGGGCAAGGGGTTCGTCTGGATCGGCGACACGAAGCACGTGACGAGGTGCGTGGAGCTGCTGGGCCTCACGGAGTGCAAGCCGGCGGACACGCCTGGGAGCAAGGCCACGGGCAAGAGCGTCCGGGAGGCGCTGGATCCGCTTCCGCACGACGAGGCGAAGCTCTACCAGCAGGTCGCGGGGCTCGTCAACTACGTGGCGGTAGACAGGCCGGACATCCAGTTCGCGGTGAAGGTGATCCTCACGGACATGGGGAAGCCCACAGTCATCAGCATGCTTAGGCTGAGGCGGTGCGTGCGGTATCTCCACGGTCGGCGCGAGCTCGGGTGGTTCTACGAGAAGCAGGAGATGCCCAAGGAGGGTTCTCTACGAGACGGACTCGGACTGGGCAGAGGATGAGATCACGAGGAAATCGACCAGCTCCGTGTACGGCTTCTTTGGCAGCCACCTCCTGGAGACCCAGGTGGCGTCGCAGCCCGTCGTCGCGCTCAGCAGCGGAGAGGCCGAGTTCTACGCCATCGGCCGAGGCGCGGCGAGTGCGATCATGATGCGGCAGTTCTACCAGCAGTGTGGCATCGAGGTCGCGTCGAAGGTTCACAGCGACTCGAATGCAGGCAGGGCGATCGCGACGCGGATCGGCAGTGGCAAAGTACGGCATCTACAGATACGAGACCTGTGGGTGCAGGAACGAGTCAGGCTCGGCGAGCTACAGCTCGGGCGAGTCGACACGGAGAGCAACAGGAGCGACTTGGGGACCAAGCATCTGGACGGCAAGCGGGTGCTCAAGTTGCTGGAGATGTCCAACCTGCGGCTTCTGACCAAGGGGCTCGCCGCGGGCGTGGGCGTCACTTTCACGGAGGCGGCCGAGTACGGAGACAAGCAGTGCTCCACGGCCGCTGACGACGAGGTCGAGTCGAACATCGGCTCGATCGTTCTCGCCATGATCGTGTTCATCATCGTGCTGGTGCTCGCGGTCAAGGGCGCAGTTGTGTGCACGAGAGGAGCGGTGCAGCTCTTCTCATCTGGGGCGGCGAGTGCTGCCCCACCAGCGGGAGCGGCGAGGGCTGCCCCGCAGGCCGACGGCACGGCGGGGCCCGAGGCGGCGTCGAAGGACGCGCCTGAGGGGCATGTCGTTTCTCGGGCAGCGGCGATAGCTGCGCCTGAGCGGGTCGCCGAAGGGCGAGACCTCGGTTCGGAGTACTTCGGGAAGATGCTGGCTGAGGCCACCGTGGCAGAGCTCAAGGAGGAGCTCAGGTGGCGGAAGCTGCCAGTGAGCGGCTTGAAGGCGGACCTCATCGTCCGTCTGTCGAGGGACGGCGGCCAGCACATGGCCAGCAGTGAGGGGCTGGCTGCAGCGGCGTGGGCCGCGCGGCTGGTTCCAGGCAGGGTGCCTATCCGAGCGTTTCGCTCGGATGCGAGTCTAGGCTCGCACCTAGGCGCGCTTCTCAGCAGCACGGGGTAGGTCCGAGCCGAATGCAAGACCCTTTGAGGGCCACCCAAGACGGGTGAGGGCGCGGCCAGAGGCCGCTCCTTTGAGCCGAGGGCGCGCGTCGGGCGCGGGCGCGCGGGAGCCACGGCGGGGACGCCCGCTTTGGCTTGAGCTTGAGCCTTCAGATGGAGGCTCGAGCCGCAGTACAGAGAAGATGCAAGGCGATGCGCTCGCCTGCATCTTGGAGGCGTGTTGACTGTACATGCTAATCTGTAGCCCCTTGGTCCAAGTAAAAACCATCAACACTTTCAGAGCATTCGAGTGTCCTCAATTGATGCTGAGGTCCAAGTGCATTCTCAAAGCATTCGAGTGTCTACAATGGGTGCCGGCGTGCAAACTCAGTTCACTTGCGAGGACGCCTGTGTGAAAACTCAGTTCACTTCAATGGATGCTGGCGTGCATACTCAGTTCACTTTGAAGGACGCCTGTGTGCAAGCTCAGCTCACTTTCCAGGACGCCGTCAAAACATGGATTGACAGGAGCACTGCCCAGAAGGGGTTCACTGGCCAGATTGCGCTGCAGTATTTAATCCAGGGGCCTGAATTCTTCGTAGACCTCATGACAGAGCCAATGACCATCCCAAAACATCATGTATCATTTTGGTTCCATACTTTGTTCAACCTCACGGATCATGTTCAGTCGTTTCTGGGAGAACTTTTGGATTGTCTCAAATCTCACCGTTTCGTGACGGGGAAAATGAGCCGTGCCGAGGAGGCCAGGTTTAAAGCTCCAGGGTACATTGTCGATTGTTTCAGATTTGTTCCAGACGGACTCTTCGAGAGTGCCAGTCGCGCAGACCCGCGGAGACTCGAAGCAGACACCCGGAGACTACAGCAAATGTGGGAGCCCCAAGAGCTCAGAATTACGTCGCCACGTGGACGAATCGCCTCTCCGTCGGGGTCGTCGTCTGTCCGTGTCGCTTCGGATGTGATAGCCAAGACTGGACATCAAAAGTTGGTTCCCGAATATTCCCAAACCATTCGAGTTTCCCCCGATAACGGTGGGAGCTCTAGAGGTAGCCGCAAAGGCAGAGGCAAAGGCAAACGATAGGGCAGCTTTGAACATGATTGTCTGCATACATTACCTCTCTGTGTATTGTACGCTGTATTGTATTGGATTGATGATTGTGATTGCCTCGCGTGGTATTTTGATTGTTGTTTGTGATTGCCTCGTGTGGTCCTTCTGTGCATTGTTTGAGCTTTAATAATTCAGTGTGTGCATGTTCAGTTCTTGGCCAGGTATCCTGGCTCTCTTGTCGTAGTTTTAGTTTTGCCTTTTCAGTGTTCTCACTGTTGTAGGGTTGTACGAGCCTTCAGCGGCGGAGCGCATCTGCGATGTTCTCCTACAGGTTGTGCGAACGTCTTTGGTCATGCATGCTTCTGTTTCTCTATGAGGGCGGACTGCTTGCTTGACAATTTTGAGGCTTCGCTTCGCCTGAGACTTCGTTGGACCTGGCCTCAGTGGCCAAGATGGTCCCAGCAAAGACGCAAAAAAAAGCCTGGTTGACGGTTTACCGCCGGCTCCCAGTTTGACCATTCATTTTGAGAAACCAGATTTTTCTCACGTGTAGTGGGTTATGCCGCGTCTGCCAGTTCAATTCTCAGGTCCGTAGCTGCAATACTACTATCAAAACACTTGAGGGAACCGACTGTGTTCCGAGTCATCTTGACACGCGTTCACTGTTTTCTGTATTTAACTCGAGATGTAGAAAAGCTAGAGAGCCGCTACTTACAGAAACCGATCCAGAATCATCAGGCGCGTTCGTCTGTTGCATTCAGAGGTCTGAACTCGGTCTGCTACTCGAGCTAGGTCCTCAAAACTATTTGTAGTCAGTATCACCAGACGCGTTCGTCTATTGCATCGAGAGGTTTGAACTCGGTCTGCTACTCGAGCTAGGTCCGCGACACTATTCGTATTTCTGAAGTTCTCTTTACACGCGCTGTCGGTTTTCTGTACTTCACTCGAGCTGTAGTTGAGCTAGCTAGTTGGTTACCACAGAACTCGATTCAGAATCATCAGGGGCGTTCGGCTGAAGCATCTAGAGCTCTGACCAGAGTCTGCTACTCGTCCGCAAAACTATCCGTATGCAACCGTTTTTTTTCGAACTGATGGTGAAATATTTCACTTAACTCGAGCTGTAGATGAGCTTGAGAGCTCTCTCGCACAGAAACCAGCGGGAAACATACCTTTCTCACGTGTGTCTGCCAGTCCACTTCTCAGGTCCGTAGATGCAATGTTACTATCAAGGGGGCCGACGTTGGATGACAACGGAAAAAAACGTATTTTTCGAGCTCTCTTCTTCACGCTTGAGAAAGCTTTTTCTGTGTGTTCTGAGCAGCGCCGCGCGAGAGAAGAGCTCTACGAGGCTCCCGGCGGTTACCTGGTTGACGGTTTACCGCCGGATCCCAGTTACTATCAAAAGACTTGCACGAACGTATCTTGGGTTAAAACGAAAAGCGTAATTTTTCGAGTTTCTCGGCTCGTCCTTGGCGGTAAACCGTCAACCTTTCTTACCGCCGGGGGACTCGTGGAGCTTCCTGACCATATATTATGTCCAAAGAATTAGCAGCGAACGAATAGTAACTCGTAGAGCTTCCCTTAGCTAGTTGCTGGAAGCTTAAGAGTAATTCCGGGGCGCTGGAGAGCTAGTTGGCAAGAAAAATCTCGACGGACCTTTTGGTGACTTTTGGTCGGTTGAAAATTTTGTTCTCGAAATTCAACCATTCGTTAGAGCTCTAGTATTTTTCCCACCATATTCGATATTATTCCCGCTCGCCATCTTGATCTCAGCTCGATCGGGTACCTTATACTGCCAAAAAGCGTTGCGGCGGGATCGGCAGTTTCGAGTCATCTTGACACGCGTTAACGGTTTTTTGTACTTAACTCGAGCTGTAGAGCAGCTACAGGGCTGATACTTACAGAAACCGATTCAGAATCATCAGGCGCGTTCGTCAGTTGCATCTAGAGGTCTGAACTGGGGCTGCTACTCGAGCTAGGTTCGCGAAACATTTGATTATTCGAGTCATCTTGACAGGTGCTGATGGTTTTCTGTACATAACTCGGGCTGTAGGAGAGCTACAGACCTGGTATTTACGGAAACCGATTCGTAATCATCGGGCGCGTCTGTCTCTAGCATCTAGGGGTCTGAACTCGGTCTACTACTCGAGCTAGGTCGCGAAACTATTCGTATTCTACGAATTTTGTTGGCGGATACTGTCGGTTTTTGGTGTTTAATTCGAGCTGTAGAGGAGCTACAGAGCTGATGCGCATACGTAACCGATTCCGAATCATCGGGCGCGTTCGTCAGTTACATCTAGAGGTCTGAACTCGGTCTTACTCGAGCTAGGTCCGCGAAGCTTTTCGTATTCCTGGAGTCACCTTGACAGGTGCTGTTGGCTTCCAGTACTTAGCTCGGACTGAAACGCTTCAGAGCTGGTACTCACAGAAACCGATTCAGAATCATCAGGCGCGCTTGTCTGTTGCATCGAGAGGTCTGAACTAGGTCTGCTACTCGAGCCAGGTCCGCGAAACCATTTGTATTCTTCGAGTTCTCTAAACAGGCGCTGTCGGTGTTCTGTACTTAGCTCGAGCTTTAGCATAGCTACAGAGCTTGTGCGCACACACAATCGATTCAGAATCACAGGCGCGTTCGTCTGGAGCATCCAGAGCTCTGAACTCAGTCTGCGACTCGAACTAGGTCGCAAAACTATTCGCATTGGACCGATTTATCTTCGAAATGACGGTGCATTTCTTCACCTAACTTGAGAGCTCTTTGGCACATAAATGAGATGGAAATCATGAGGCACCGCTTGGCTGGATCTGTTCAGCACAACAATGGGAAGGGAATTATCAGCGGCAACCCCTTGATGCCCCCATTGCGCCAACATCCTGGGTCGTCCCAATCCTTGTCCTCCTGATCCCTTCCCTGAGTGTCGTTCCCTAATGTCGGCTTGTCTCCTTAGTAACGACGCTGTGGCCTGCGGAAGTAGCAGGCATTGACTGTGTAGGGAACGAACCTGGCAAACTAAGGCGGGCATGCTAGGGAAGCGGCCAGTGGCTGGTGTGTCGTCAGCCTCGAAGCTGATGGATGCAATTGCCCACTGCCAAGCAAAGAAAATAACACGCAGCATGTTGCGATTGGCCCAGAGGCGGATCTTGCGGGAGAGGCGTAAGTATATACTTTTTTCGTCCTGAAGGCTCAGAGTGTCGATGCTGATCCAGGATTGCCTTGGTTGTCTCCCTGTAGCTGTCTCTCGTATAGGAAATGCCGTGCTCATACACTGTCGTACGTGGACTTCACACGCCTTAGTATGGTCTGTGCTGTGCACACTGAATGGCGGGGGGCGGAACTGCATGAGCATGTGCTGGAATATCTTGGCCGAGGTCGGATCCGTGTAAAGAGTCGGATCGTGCTTGACTTTGTAGGGCCTGGGCGCCTCCGGCATGAACTCGGAGGTTGGAAACAAAAGGCGCGCAGCTGCCACGTTGTGATCTGGCTGTGATACGGTGAGATCGATGTCGTGGTCGACCCCCTGTGCTGGCACTGCAACGTCCATTGACATCGCCACGTAGTCCCTGCGGTGGGTTGTTGTTTTGGCCCCTGGAGCTGTCCAGGTAGCCGCTGAGCCTGAGGGGTCCTCGTAGAAGGTCGATGGGGCCCATTGAGAGGTAACCTTGAGGAAGTCATGAAAGTGCTTCCCTGGTATGTTCTGCTTTTCGGCATATATGGGGCCCACGTGAGCGTCCGTTTGGGATCCCAGAGCGGCGTTGGCATCCACTAGCGTGACCAAGTGTTCAGAGTCCCCTTTGTGTTGTTGTATGTAGTGTCGCAGCCGAGACCACCAACTGTCGATGTCCGTTGGGGGGCGGCGGGAGTGCGGAGCATGCGCCACACATACACAGAGCGACATACTTGGGGCCCGCACGGCCACAATGAGCACTGTAGGCTCTGCATGCAGTACCTGTAGGTGAGA